TAGTAAGACCCTGTCTCAAAATAAGAATTTAGAAAGGGCTGAGGACATAGCTCTTTGTGAAGGCCCTGGGTTCAATCCCCAGTGCTGGGATGACAGGCGTGTGCTACTATATCAAGCAAATAAATTTCTTTGAAATTACTGACAGCAAAAAGAAATTAAAAGTCTGAGTGGCCCTGTATCTTTTTTAAACTTATAATTTAACACTTTCCTTAAAGGAAACCATAGGTCCTGGGTGGCTTCACTGGTGAATTCTATCTAGTATTTAAGGAAGAAATACAAATACTAAACAATTTCAAAAAATGGAGGCCTCAGTTTTCATTTTGTTTTGCCCTGCCAGGATCGAACTCAGGGCCTCATATATGCTAAATAAGCATTCCGCCGCTGAGCTACAACACCAGCCTTTAGTTCATTTTTTCAGTCTAGTATTACTAATAATAATGTCAGGAAAAAATAATTACTAGCCAGTATTGCTAATAAGCACAGAACTAAAAATCCCTACAAATCCTTTGCATAGAGAATCCAGCACTATATGAAATGCATAACTCAACAAGAGCAAATAGAGTTTATCCAAGAAATGCAGTTGGTTTAACATTGAGAAAGCAGTTGATTAACTCATCATTTTAACAAACTAAAAATCATACAATCATCTCAAATAAATGTAGAGAAATTTGATGGAATTCAGTGCCATTTGTTACAAAACTCTCACCCATCTGATAATAAAAAGGAATTTTCTCAACCATGATAAACTAGGAAAAACCTATGGCTAACATCATCTATAACAGTAAAAGACTGAACACATTCTCTCCAGCTTCACGAACAAGGAGTAGTTATCAATTCTTACCAGAGTAAAGAATCTTTTTACAATCTACAAGAACTAACAGGTGAATTTAAGAAAGTTACAAGATACATGATTGGTATTTAAAAATAAGTTCTATTTCTAGGTCCTAGCAACAAACAATTGGAATTGAAAGTTAAAAACAATACTATTTACAGTAGCATAAATACACATGATATACTAAGGAATAAATATAACAAAATATGTGTAAGAACTATATATTGGGGCTGGAGATTTAGCTCAGTGGCACAGTGCCTGACTGGCAAGCGCAAGGTCGTGAGTTCGATTCCCAGTACCGGAAAAAGACCAAAACCAAAAAAAAAAGAAGAACTATATATTGAAAATTACAATAGCTGAAAAAGAGAACTAAATAAACAGTATAAACCATGTTTGTATGCTAGAATACTATATTAGTTAATTTCAGGTGTCAACCTGGCTGGGCTGTGGTTCCCATGTATGTAATCAAACATCATTTTGGATGTTTCTGTGAAGGTGCTTTTTGGAGGAGGTTGCCACTGAAATCTGTGACGTTTGTGTAAAGCAGCTTACCCTCCATAATGTGGATGGACTCAGACGATCAGCGGAAGGCACTGATGGAACACAGATGAATCTCCCCAGGCAAGAAGGAATTTGGCAGCATATGGACTTTGGACTTGAACTGCAGCACTGGCTTTTCTCTGGGCCTCTGCCCTCTGAAGTTTGGACTTGCCAGCCTCCATACTTGCATAAGCTAATTCCTTAACCCCCCACCCCATATCTATATAATTGTCTGAATGCTGGTGTTCCCCCAGATTCACCTGTTGGAACTTAATCCACAATGTGATAGATAACATTAAGATGTTAACAATACTAAGCCTTCAGGAAGTGACCCCATCAGGAGTGGAATTAATGCCTTTAGAGGTGTTTGCCCCTCTCACTTGTGAGGATACAGGAAGAAAACATGCTCTTAGCAAGTGCGCAACGGACACTGCACCTGCTGGGCCTCCCAGCCTGCAGAACTGTGGACTGTAGATTTCTGTTGTTTATAAAGTATGCAGTCTAGGGTATGGTATTTTGTTATAGCAACCCAGGGACTAAGATAACATACAAATACACATACATACATACATACATACATACATACATACATACATATCCTATTGATTCTGCTTCTCTGGAAAACTCTAATACAAATAATTAACACTGTTAAAAGATCAGTTATTCTCAAGCTAGTTTATATATTCAATGCAATTGCAATCAAAATCACAGAGAGCTTTTGTGGATAGAAAGTAACAAAACATTCCAATACTTAAAATACTGAAGACCTAGAATAGCTAGGTGAAAAAAAGCAGAAGAAAAATAAAGTTGGATAATTTAGGGTGCCTGGTTTCAGACTTAATTGGTAGCAGTAATGACCATGTGATTTTGGAATAAGGACAGACAAACAGATTAGTAGAACAGAATACAGAGTCAAAAAATAGAGTCACACTTAACTGGCTAAATGATTTTCAACAAACTTGCCAATTCAATGGGGAAAAGATAGTCTTTTCTAGAGTGGTTCTGGAACAATTAGCTCTCCATATATGCAAAATGATGAACTTTGCCCCTTACCGCATATCACACACACAAGTTAACTTGAAGTAGTTATAGACCTAAATGTAAAAGTTAAAACTATAACATAGCTTGATGAAGATACAAGAGAAAATCTTCATAGCAATGATTTCTTAGAGAGGACACCAAAATCCATAAAAATATAAAAGGAAAATTTGATTAATTGGATTTAATAAAAATTAAAGTTGTCTTCACTTCAAATGACACTGGTAAGAAATGAAAAAGCAAGCTATAGTCTTGGGGCAAATAGTTTCAAT